AGAACGTATTTGCTCTATCACTATTACAAAATTTATAGTGCTCAAAACTGCTTATTAGAAGAAGACCCAAAATAGAGCAAACTCCAAAATTTTCAAAACCAAAAAATTCATCTTCGTCGGCAATGTCAATGACCCAAACAAAGTCGCTGAAGACCGAACTCTCCTTCTTCACTCAAACTTCTTGACCAAAGAAGATATAATTATATTAAGTTGGCATAGTCAAAACTTTTTCCCCAAATCTCCATTACGTGATGGACTTGAACACTTTTTCTCAATAAAATAATGAAACCAACTTGTATCGACATACAAACTCTCTCGAGCCTTATCCAAATAAAAAATAAATTCAAATAAGAATTAGAATACAAGTCATTATAACAAATGCAATGTATAAGGTTGAGTTTATCTCTTAATGAATCCATAGCCTAGATTAGGTAATATATCTAATTGCGATATACACTTGATGAATTCACCTATATAGATGTGAGAGTGAGACCGTTTCTTATGAGAGTTTGGGTAGATTTTTTAGAACATCTATGAATATTCAGGTAGGGTGCTCAGATTAGAAGGTTTAATGTGGGTAATGAATGCGATCAGTTTACATCAAAGAAATGAAGTTCATAAAAATTTTAGATTTAATTTGGTTTTTGTAAGCTCTTTATTGATTCTAAGTGTTGGTTAATAGTTTAAAAGACACCGCCACAATGCATTAAATAATCGTGTTCCCAAATGGATTTTATTGTTTTTCAAGTATCTATTTATATTTGTATTTTGAAATATGTGGGAGATTATTGTACATTATAATGGTTATTTCAAAATTCAAAATATTTTGTTATACAAAATATATATGTATATATGTTTGAGTTAGTCACACAAATTTGAAATATAAAATTTCAACCAGTTAATATCGTCTATCTCTCTTTTAGTGTGCCGCCGGTTGGATGAGTTCTATCCGTTGCAAGACTTCAAAGGATTTCAAGCATTACATTATATTAGTTGCACCCAAAGATTTGCATCAAAAGTTGCATCTTTCCGTTAGTGTTGCTATTTAAAGTGATGGCAGATTGTACTTTGGTACGAACGAAAAATTGAGTGGAAAATAAAAACAGAGGAAAGTATGCAAGGGACGAACTATAGTTTAAACAGTGGATTTTGGAAAGAGTTTATTCAATTCAATATCTTTGCTTTCAATTCAAGAATATTATCTTTTGCCATTTCTTTGATTTTATTTGATTCGGGAACGATCAAGAGTTGCTTAAGATACCTCTATATTTGTAAGTGCATACTTGTAGAGAAGCGATAGTTGAATTTTAAAGGGTAGGATGTCATAACCTATTACACTGGGTTTTATACTCAGATGCACAAAAATTTATTTTTAAAGACAGTGACTACACGTCTCTATCAATTGTGATGCAGTTTAGCTTGGAACCAGTATAGTTCAAATAGGAGATATAAACATAGACATTGGATTATCTTAAAACATGAAAGATGAATTACTTCTTCTGCTTGATAATTAGTCATAGTCTCTGTATTTTTTGAGGGAATAGTAGTACATGAGTATTTCTATAATATATTAATTGTAAATTCATTTGTACACACAAAGATACTAAGTGTTGGCATATGCTGGAGTATCAATGAAAGAATACAGATTATAAGGAGGGGTTTAGTCCAGTCACACTCTTCGGTTTTATATTTTCGATCAAGTTTTGCACTACAAAGGTTTCTTTGAATTTGAGCCAAATTTGAACCAAAGTTGATCAAATTGCTTAGAAGATGAGTTTTGAAATCTAATCTAATTTGATTCATTTTATAATTTGTACTAACTTGAATAATCTAAAATCGACTCCAATAGTTTGACAACCTTTGATTATAAATATATGGTGAAAAAAAAAACTTGCAAGTGGTTGTATGGAACATAACAAAATAATTCTTTTTAAATCACAAGTTAAATTTAAATTTAAATTTAAATCAGTCAAAATTAAATCCAAAATTCGATGGGTTGAGAAGCCCATATCCATCCAGTCTTAACAGTGCTAGTGGCATTGTTCTTATGTTAACGATAACTAAACAGTATAATATAATATAATATACTTCTGTCTGTCTACTGGGCAGAAGTGCACGTGCGTGTCGCCGTAATTATCGAGGAGTGTCTCAGTCAAAAGAGCAGCGCACTTGCCTATCAGTCAAAGGTCAAAAGGCTGTGACAGTGACAGACAGCACCGTTAAAGATATTTTTTGTTTTTTTTTTTTTCTGTTTACTTAAAAGAAAATTAGGGTAAGATAAGAACGATGATTAAGGAGAATCTATTTGATCAAATCCACACCACACATCATGATTATCGTGTGTTTTTTTTTTAAAAAAAAATTATTATAAGTTAAATTAATTTCAATTTTAAAAATAGGCAAATACCAAATTCTAAATTCTTTCACTTACATTTTATTGGTTGTCGCGGAATTTAAACAAATAATATGATAACATTGTCCATTTAAAAATATTCAATAACAAAGAATAGTCCCCATAAATTTTTTTTCATACCCATGATTATTTTATGTTCAAACCTAAAAATATGCAAAGTCGAAGGTTAGAATTATCTTCATAAATCATATTTCTTTTCATTTTTCTATCTCTGATCTATTTGAGTTTTTTTTAATGATGATTTAGTTGATTTTGATCTAATTAATTAGTCATTTTTAGTCCTTGATCATCTCTATGGCATTTTCATCGTATCAATAATTTTTTTCAAGACATTATTATAAAAGAGAGGGCCGATAAAATTTGGTGAGTTGCTAATGTGTTGTGCACACTTAATAAAAAACCGTCGTAACACTAGTTGGTAGGGGGTAGAGTCAAGATTAATTCCTAAGAGGGGTTAAATAGTGATATAACAGTAAATTTTCTTTTTTGATGAGCTATCATTATTCCATGAGTTATCATTAGGTTAGTTTCTTTTTTCTTTTTCTATTTGGTCAAGATTATGTTTGTTTCTTAGTTGTATAGAATTTGCTACAATTAATTTTTACACAATACATTATAGAATTATTTATTTTAATAAAATTTTAAAAAAGTAATTCAAACTTGTCAATAATAGATTTAAAATAATTTGAGATTAACTCATCAAACAATCAATAATTTAAGATAATTTTTTTATCTCATTGAAATCAAAGCATCATTTTAGAGGTATAAAACTTATTTTGAAAACTTAACGTGGGTAATCATAATTTTACAGGGTTAAATCATACTTTTATAAATTTGAGGCGAGCTACTCTCATCTTATTTCGTAAAATAAGTAAGAATGTGGTTACTTATTTTCTTTGTTTGGCTCGAGTTCAATCTTATTTATCTGGAGATGGAGTCATTTTAGTTCGTTAGGAATTTTTTTTTATATATGGTAAGGGCGTTTTTAAAATTAGATTTAATACGTCTGGTGACTATGAGAGTAAAGTCAATGGGCTGTTACTATTTTTAACAAGCCAATATCAAAGTCACGTGACATTAGGAGCGTATGAAAAGATAAATTGCAATTCTATTTATCAAAACTCAATTTTTTTTTGAAAAGGATCGTTGTTGACGCTTGCCTTTCTTATTGGGAGGAAGAATGGAGCCTTGAGAAGCACCGTTAAAGAAGAACATCCTTGGCCTCCCTTCATTCCCTATAGATTCTCGACCTTTTTTCAACTTAAGTGACCCAGAACGAGTTAGAGATGGAAGACATAGTATAACTCCGTCATTAATAATTGATTGAATTAGAACTGATTAATGTTTAATACGAATCCGTAATAACACCATCCTATTATTACCACCCTTACTTACATGGAGTCCCGATATTTTGTGTCCTTGCTCTTAAAAAAATTTATTCCCATCATAGTCAATTCAGTGTTTATCAACAGTTAAATTTTATTTTGAAACGTATTAAATATTTTTTATTTTTCTACAAATTTAGATAAATTATTAGTTGAATATCAAAATTTACATTCCAAACATTTTTGTTGAATATTAAAAATTTTATGTTTTAAAGCGATTTAACATGCTTTGGAATATCTTGACTAATATTTCATAAAAATAATTTCAAAACATTTTTGTTTGTAAGAAAATTGAAATTACAAAATTTTTCACTTATATTTTTGATTATTTACTATCTCTTTTTTTTAATGCTCCATTTGGTGGAAAAGATGAAATATAAGAAAAATGAAAAGTAGCAGAATACACTTTCCTTCTTTTGTGTTTGGTTGGATGGATGAAAAATAAAAATGACTAATTTTGTTTAATTTTTTTTTGTGCTGACTAAGATTAGGATTGATAATCGAGTTATGTTGTGTCAGATTATTGTTGAGTCATAAAATTATGAGCCTTTTATATTTCTTGTTTATATATCAGACCATTTTCAAGTTGGTGTTGAATAATAATTAAGTTCGTGTCATAAAATTTGTATCGAGTTCAAGTCGTGTCATCTGTTGAGTCGAAAATTTTTATCTATAGTTAAAATGAAAAAAATATTTTTTAATATATATATATACATATTTTATCATTATATTTTTATATAAAATTAATATATAAATAAATAAAATATATTTTAATATAAATAATTAATTTTATAATTATTTTCTTATAATTTTAGAGGAATTAATTTTAGTGGGTTAGAGAAAAAATTAATCTATTCATTTTCTATTTTCCTTGTTTACTAAATATAATATTTTATTTATTTCTCTAATTTTACATCATTTCAAATTTTTATCCTCTAATTTTTTCATCATACAAAATGGATGGTCTTTGTTGGCAATGGCGGAGGGCTATTTCGATTTAGGCAATGTGCAATGGTTTGCCCTAGAAGGTGTTTGTTTTGTGTGATTTTTTTTTTTTTTTTGGAGGGGGGGGGGGGGGGGGGTGTTTAGCTTCACTGAATCGGGTGGTAGAGACGTATCAGAAGTTCAGAAGAAATATATCCATATATACAATGGCACCAGAGAATAACTGGCTTTCGTTTTCTCTCTCTCCAATGGATCAAATGCTGAGCTCATCTTCTCAGTCCCAGAACATGCCTCAATCTTCCATGTCAACCTGCACCGATTCTCAGCAATACTATTTCATCGATAACTTCTGCGCAAACGGTACGTATTTTTCACTTTTTTCCAGCTAAATCTCAGCTCAGGGATCTTCTGAACTAGCTCCAATCTGTTTGTAGAAATGCCATTTCGAATGTATACTTGGTAACGTAAGGTTTTGAACAATCCCCGAGGTTTCTGTTTGGTTGCCGAGAAAAAAAAAAACCAAAGGAACAAGTGGGAAAAAGACAAGAAAATCAGCTGGAGTGTAAGGTTTCGAGTTGCTTTAGTTTTCAGAAACTTAACCAAATGTTGTATTAGGCGTTGTTTGAATGGAGTTTTTGGTATTTTCTGATCCCAAATAAGTAGAGACTTAAAAACAGTCACACTCTGATTGTCCTCCCATTTTAGTTTTCTTGCATTTTCTCAGCAACCAAACGTTACCGAGTTTTATTTCCAAGGGTTCGTCATCAAGAAAATCAATTGGAGGGTGACGTTTATTGTTACTTTAGTTTTCAAAAACTTAACTGCATAGTAGTATCAGGCGTCATTTGAATGAAGTTTTTGGTGTTTTCTGATCCTAAATAAATAGACAGTCAGAGTCAGACGCACTCGTTTGCTCCCATACTCCCACTGCTTTTCTTGAATTTTCTCAGCATCCAAACGGTACCCAAGTTTCTTTTCTCAGGATTCATTTACCTTCAGCTTATAGAAAGCTCAGAGCTGATTTTTACTTTTCACATTCACTGCAGGTTGGCTAAACCAAAAGGCTCAAGTCATGTACCCCCAAGATGATCATCATCAAATAAAAGAAGTCACAGGCCAAACTGTCAATGTCGATTCCTCCATTTTCACAGCCTTCATGGACTCACAAATCCATCAAAACCCAGTTCCGAAGCTCGAAGACATCCTCGGTGGTGACTCAACAGACACCCAGGACTCGTCTCTGACTCACATCTATTTCAACGACGAACAAGATCTGAAAACCATTGCGGGGTTTCAAGCCCTTTCGACCAACTCGGGTTCGGATGTCGATGACTCGGCGTCTGTGGGTAGGACTCCGATTACTTGTGGCGAGTTTGTGGGCCAGTCTATTGAGTCAGGGAACGAATTGGCTTTTTCACAGTGTCCTACGAATGCTTTGTCCTTAGGGGTTAATACCCAGAGTTCCCAGAATGCTGTTGTTTCGATTGATTCTAAGAAAATCACCGATACATTTGGTCAGAGAACTTCTAATTACAGAGGAGTCACTAGGTTCTCTCTCTCTCCCTCCCCTTTTACTGGGGGCTTTAATTTGGATTAGTATGCGATTTTTGTCTGAAAATCAGTGCAATTTGTAGAGTTTGTACTTCACTAATTTCATTAAGTTGGGTTCCTCTTGATGCAGACACAGATGGACAGGTAGATACGAAGCGCATCTATGGGATAACAGCTGTAGGAGAGAGGGCCAGGCCAGAAAAGGGCGTCAAGGTCCTCTCTCTCTCTCTCACACACACACACACACACACAGACAAGATTTTGTATAAAATTATCACCAACACAAAAAGAGACACTAGATTTTGTGAAAAGATGGTTTACATGCTTTCAAAGAAATCAATGGGGTCTCAGAGCTCAGGTAGCGAGCGACTTTGGGGGGGGGGGGGGGGGGCGAGGTGTGTGGTATTTTCATTCATTCAAATCAGGCTTTTATGATCATTGAGTGATTGATGGGTACATATGTACTTCTCTTTTCTGCTCTTTCTTTCACTGGTTTGATTAGATTGGCCGCCATTTTTGTTAATGCGTGGGTGTGATGTCCAACTCTATTACTATTTCTTCCTGAAATGGCCGAGATTTGTCTGGTAGTGTTATTCAAACATACCCCATAATTTCTGGTAAAACATAGCATCTAGACGGCTACGCCAGGTTGCATTGATACCTCAGCTAGTCTGAACACTAGTGTCTGAAACTCTGAAGTTTATCAGAAGGCTTTAACTTTTGCTTTTGCTTTGCTGGGCCAGTAACTATCAATTGGTTTGACCAAGTGACCCACATGAAATTTAAATGAACTGCCCACCATTTTTTCAATGGAATTTAACATTTAATTGTTCAGTTCACACCCCCTTCATTAATTCAATTACATATACAGTACATTTTTTTTTTTCGGAAGGTACAGTACATTGTTAACTGCCAAGAATATATTAATATTGGTACTGCCCAGTTCAAAAAAAAAGAAAAATGAAAGTGATGATGGTACAACTCAATTTAATTCAAGTTATCATATGAACGAATTATATAATGATAGTATTGATACCAAAAATTTTAGTTGAAGACTTCAAATCACTCTTATTTTTGTAATAATTGTCCCTCGGAGGAGGGGGAGTTACTATTCACTTCCAAAGTCCCTCCCCAAGTGTCCTCCATGAGAAGAAAAAGATGGTTCCATGCTGGGGCTACTGAGATGGAGGTTCACTTTAAGCTGATATTATTCACATTATGAACGAAGATTGAAGAATCAAAAACGGAAAAAAAAAAAACTGAGTGACAAACTGGAAGTTTGCTTCCACTAGACCAAGGTCATGTTCACATTTTGTTGGTCACTTATACAATCGCTATCTGTCTTTCTCTCTCGCACACAACAAAAAGCATGCATCCAGGCACACTGTTTTTCTCTCTCTCTTTTTTTTTTTTGCCCTTTTTGTTTTATGATATAACTTTTCTGGCAGAAAAATTTAACTATTTCATAGCTAATGTTTGAATTCTTACATGTGTTGTGCATGACTTGCGAAATTGGGCGTCATCTGTTACTCAAATTGTGAAATTTGTTCTGCAGTGTACTTGGGTAAGTAATCTCCTTTTCCATTTTTCACTTTATGCTTTGAAACATTTAAGTATATTTTAGTAAGTAACTATGCATATTTTGATTAATTATGCTGGAACTCTCTGGGTAAAATCAGGTGGCTATGACAAAGAAGAAAAGGCAGCAAGGGCTTACGATTTGGCAGCTCTAAAATACTGGGGTCCCACTGCCACAACCAACTTCCCTGTAATTCATTACACCATTGTACTTTTCCAAAGAATTACCTGAACATAGACTATTAGTTTCAGCAAGACCATTATATGTTTATGTCTATTACATAAATATAATCTATTATTTTGCTAAAGCATTGGTTTTTTTTTTTTTTTTTGGGGGGGGGGGGGGAGAGATGATAGTGGATGACCGATACTGCTACATTAAACTGTGTTTGAAAGGCATATCTCCATCATAGCAACACTATATCATTGGGCCTAGGTAACACAAGAATGTGGACTTAAGTCGGCTAAACCGATGTTTACCCTTCAGGTTTCAAACTATACCACGGAGCTGGAGGAGATGAAGCATGCGACTAAGCAAGAATTCATTGCCTCACTAAGAAGGTTAGTTGTAGTTGACCCCCTTCTTATATTGTGCTCAGAATTGTATCTAATATTGGTGAAATTGGTGAACCAATTAGCAGCCTGTGTTTTTTTTTGAATCCTGAATAAAGATTTTCATTAATCATTAGGGAGATAATTATGGTCATTTTGTAAAATAGCCATAAGCTCTTGAGGTAGGCAACTAACCCAATCTAGAGGAAGGTTTTGGGCCCAACAAAATGATGCTGCTACCCAGTGAGCCACCCTGTTAAGGGTTTGTGGCTGGAAAGGGAACTGTAAATGTTGTTGATCTGCGTGGGATCTAATATCATCAATGAAAGTTGCAATGATAGCATTCCACTCTCAGGGAAATATATCAGTGTTATCACTCTCAATGATAGCATTCTCTAGATTAGCCGGTTCTCATGCAACATTTCACAACCATTTTCAGGAAAAGCAGTGGTTTCTCTAGGGGAGCGTCCATCTACAGAGGTGTGACGAGGTTTGACTACTTGGATCTAAATTATTTCTTGATGAAGCCAATTCCTTTTTTATCTTTTCTTGTCTACTGTTGCTGTGTTCATTAACTAACTGTTGTCCATTGGTAAGGTTTTGCAGGCATCATCAACATGGTAGATGGCAAGCAAGGATTGGTCGTGTTGCCGGAAATAAAGATCTGTATCTCGGAACTTTTGGTAGGATATCATCCCTCTTGTATTTAAGTAGGCTGCACTAGATGCATTTACACCCAAAAATGTCTGATTCAAATTGAATTTAAGTTTAGGATATGAAAATAAGTTCTTTAGTTTAACCCACCCAGTTTTGGTATTTTGTTGAGCTTCAACTCATTTGTTTCTGTTCGTAGTTGAAATTCTTTTAATTGATTGTAAAGAAGAATTCCTTTTGGATCAGAATTTTTTGAATCGAGAATAACTTGACTTGGTATATCGTGGCAGCCATGGAGGAGGAAGCAGCAGAGGCGTATGACATAGCAGCAATAAAGTTTAGGGGAGTGAATGCAGTGACCAATTTCGAGATGAGCCGATATGATGTCGAAGCCATTGTCAAGAGTACTCTTCCCATTGGTGGTGCAGCAAAGCGCCTAAAACTCTCACTTGAGGCAGAGCAGAAACCGATTTTTAGCAATAACTCCCAACCCCAGTACAGCAGCAGCATCAATTTCGCCGCCATCCCCTGTGGAGTGCCATTTGATGCTACGGCGCCTCTTTATAATCGGGACGTATTCCACCACCTCCCCTTTAATAATGCAGGCGCTTCTGGTACGTCGTCGGGATCTGTCTCTTCCATGGTAGCCCCAATGACTTTATCACCGGCTGAGTACTTCATTTGGCCTCACCAATCCTATTAGCATTGACCCGCTAGTTTGTGACCAATACCTTTCAGCTAAATGTTAAACCAGCAGCAGCCCATGTTTGTAGTATTTGATTCAAGCTGACCCTTTTAACTGACCTACTAAGCGTTAGTGTAGCTTTTTAATCTTAAGCAGGGCTGAGATGTAATGCTGTTTGTCTAAAGGCTGAAGTTTTAGTTCCTTGGGAAACATAATTTTTTTTTTTTCAATGGTCAGAAATATTCGGAACAACTTATGTGCACCTTGACTAATTTTTTTTCGATCTGATCAAAAATAAGCTATTTACGTTGAGATTAGAATATTTATGAGAGGTGAATCATTTTTAATTTGATCTTAAAAGAGTTATCGAGACTCGCAATAATTTGTCAAAAAAAGGGTTTTCTCAACAATTGAATAGTTCTAGGGGGAATATTTTGGGGGAACACATTACACATCTTCTTCTGGAATAGTTTGGCATTCAGTTGGATTAAAATATAAATAATAAGATAATATTAATAATTTATACGTGATACATTATTATTGGATGGATGAAATGTAAAAGTGCGATATTAAAAAAGTGGTATTTTAATACTATAATAATAGGACTCATACAGCAAGAGCCTTCACAGTAAAAGGAAAATACAACAAAAATCCTGGCCGTTTGATCATCAGCACAGTAATCATGAACATCACCGTTAAGGCTAACAAGTCAAACCTAGTCCAAATCGAACCGGTCCCACTAATCCCAAACTCACGAGCCCAACCGGTTCAACCCATCCCGAGCCACAACGGACCCAGGCTCGATCCTCAGGGCCTCTGCAAACGCATTCTTCGCTTCCTCTCTCAGCCCCTTGGTCTCGTAACACTGACCCAACAAACAAAACGCCTTGCTATTTCTGTTAGTATTATCCCCATACAGCCTCACCGCTTCGACCAGGTCAGCCACGGCCGAGTCAACTCGTCTCTTCCGATTCACTGCGATCTGCAACTCGGCCCTCTTAATCAACGCATCGGCTCTCTCTCTCTCCGGCAGAGACTTCAAAGCCGGAGGAGAAAGGGCTATATCGAGTGATCTAATGGCTGAAGACTTGTGGCCCATGAGATCTTGGGCCAGGGCCTTGAGGATATGGGCTGCGGGGTTCTTGGGCTCGATGGATAGGGCTTTGTCGGCTTCGACGACGGCGGATTTGGCTAGGTTTAACGAGGTGGTTTTGTTGCGGGACGATCGGGATTTGGCTAGGAGTTGGGCGGCTTGGACGAAGTGGCGGTGACATTCGGCGGTGGATCGATTTTTGGTTCGGAGTTTGGTTAGGGCTTGTTTGGAGAAATTCTGTAGAGCGAAGAAGATGCCTAGGCTGAAGATGAGAAGGCCCAGTTGCAGGACCATATCTGTCCCCATCTCTCTCTCTCACTCACACACACAAGATTTGCAGAGAGGTGGGGGAGAAGTGGTTGTAAGGGTTGAAGATGATGACTGATGGGTGGGACTTTTAATTTTCGTTTTTGTGGATGGGTCATTTTCAGGCCCAGCCGGCTACAAGAGAGGTTAATTCGGTTCGATCCAAGTTATAATATTTTTAATTTATGTTCCATGTGAACTCAAATTCAATCTAAATTATTTGAGCTTGATTCTTAGGTTACACAATTCAAATTGAAATTCAGATTCAATCTATATTAAAATCGGTATCAACTCACGGAAATCAGGATCAACTTGGTTGAACCCAAATTTGGATTGGGACTTAGTTCACTTAGAGGTTGATTCGTGGGTTACTAAATTCAAAGTGAAATTTGAGTTTAATTCTAATTAAAAATGGAATCAACTCGAATTGAACCCAAACTTATTGCTCGGACTACACAATTCTAGCTAGAATTTGGTCTCAGCACGGATTAAATTCAGGTTATGTTGCTTAACTAATTGACAATATTGAGTGCTTCTTTTAAGTCCTGAATTATGTGAGCATCTTCCTATTTTGTTACAGATGATCATTGATATAAACCTTCTTTTCTTCTCATAGTTGTTGCTTTTACATAGCATACCCTAATAGCTTTCTATGTGGATTGCTCCTCATCTCTCAAAGGAAAAGACTAAAAAACAAACAAATAAGAATTAATATCCTCTTAATTTCTAATTATGATGTTTTTTTATTCCTCGATTCCCCAGTTTTTGTGGCTAATAAGTATGATGATAGCAATGTTCTTCTAGTTACTTTTTGGTTAGTGAAGTCGTAACAATGATTTCACCAAATCAGCTTGGATAGAAGTGCGAGTCTTGCAAGAGATGTCCTGGTTGATCCCATGTAAATTCTAAATTTACTTAACAAACACGAATCAAATGGCGCATGATTGGATGGCTCTTGGTTAAAATACTGCATGAAATGGAATGGAATAGAACCACAAACAAGATGGAATTTTTTTTTTCGGATTATCAATAACACTACAACCTTTTTGTTTCCTCAGCATTGTGTGTTTCTCACACTAATCCCTACATCTCCACAACAAGCAACACTCTTAGAAGAAGAAACAAGAAGAAACCCAACTCTTGAATTTTGATGCTTTGAGTTTCAAAATATAGACAGCTTCTGGTGAATGTCATCTTCCAAGCAGAAACTGCAGGGCCACAGTGTTATGATCTTCCACCCACACACAGCAAGAAGAAGAAGCAGAGCAGCAGCAAAAGCAATGGTGAAGATTTCAAAGAAGCCATTACTCCATAACAAGTTCCATATGTCTATCGAGGTCCTTGAGGTATGTGGTACAAGTATAGTCTTCTAGGTCACAGGCATCCACAATCACTGCCCTCCCTCCCATAGACTTTTGTTGCAAATCCACTGTTCTAGTCTCACCTCTCAATAACTGCACAACCTATATATAACCAGAAACTCACTTCTATCAATGGTCTTGAGATTTGAATGTGAACGAGTGTTGGAGTTTCTAACTTAGAACCAATTAGCAATGAAACTCGAATAATGATTTAGGAGGTGCTGTAATACAAACGTTAGAACAAAAATTGACACTCTCTGCATTTGCAACCCTCACTCACATATGAAGTGGATGTGACAGGGTAAACCAATTAGCAAATCGAGGGAATTGAAAATAGAGTTTTGTCAAATTTATCTGGACCTTACTTCTGGTGGTGGAGATGCTCAAAAGATTATTTACTAGTTTAAGAGAGGTTATTTTACCAATGTTGAGCAAGTTCTATCACTGCCCTTTATGTGAATCCCCATTCACACGTGCATATGTAAACAAATGGTAAAGCAGAATCAGTAACAAAATGCAACTCTTGTAAACATTTGGTCAGTAAATACAAGTGAACTGACCAAACCATGTTATGCATGCGTGTTTTGTTCTTCTTCCATTTTCAATGTCCAACGTCTCTCTCATCAAATTTTCTCATGGTATATGAACTTTTTAGGTCTCTTCAATCAATTTTCAAATTGGTTTTGAAGTAGCTCTAACAATAAATTTATATCTACGAGCAGGAAAAGAATGCAGAGCATATGATAAGAATCTGATACCCGGGTCATGTTTGGACGCATGGTAGGCAAGTGATGAAGGCATGTTGAGGCTGTCAACATGGCGCGTTTCATTTCAATGGTATCATAAGCATCTTCTAAACGAGGGTCTGCTAGTTCTTCGCCATTGTTTTCCTCCAGCAGTGGCTTTGCCTGCACATAAATGCACAAGGTATCAGTAGTTCATGCTCTATGCTTGCAAAATGTTTTTCCAGTTCCGAAAGTTGAAGTGTCTGGAAAAGGATTGTTAAAATGATAACAAGAGGAGGGTTAGGGGAAGTAAACTTGGAAGCAACTGAATAAGCAGGAAAAATTAAAATGTCGAGGATAGCTACCTGATTTGATTTCTATTATAACTTCGAACCAATTGATCAACCTTACAACCACATGTCCTTTTGACTATGTTGCTAACTAAACCCGAAATGTGTGCAATTCTGTGCAAACCAATGCTCATCAAGTCAATCAGGTTGTGTTATGAGATTTGATCTTGGAGACTTGAGGTACTAACTACCCTGCCACCTGAACTCTCTGTATCGGTTTAAATGATATTAATTTCTTTTGGCACGATTTAGTGAGAGTTTGTTATGGACTATATTCAATCTCATAACCAACTCGTAGATAAAAGACGCTTTAGAAGTGGGTATTGAGCTTAAGATTATCCCTAATAGTTCCATCAATGCCATGATATTCTGTCTAGGCTAAATTAACCCAATCTTTACCACTAAACCACCTTAGAATATGTGAAATTTTTGGGTAGTAACTTTTAAGATTACCTACCATACGAATTGAAGACAAACAAGAGGGGAAATGATTTCATGATGAAATATGCCCAATGGGATTCCATCCACTGTATAATTGTATATGAAGGCCTTGCCTCAGAGAGATGTATGTGGTATGCGGCCTTACCCCCATTATGGACAGTCTAAATTCTGGATTTGAGCCCCTGGCATATCAATTGGGTGGATGAGCACTTACCATTGCTCTATGTCCCATTTCTATCTACCATACAGTCATATCAAACCTAAACTAGAGGTCAACAAGTCTGTGAAACTAGTGCTTGGATTGTGGCCTAATGTTCACAGGTCTTATGACAACTTCCAAAAACCTACGTTTAAATCTGTGTTATTGACAAATTTTGTAACTGAAATTGCTTGAATACAGGCAAAATTTTGGGAATGCACTCAAAATGTGTGGGATGTTTCAGCATATTCAAATCATACCCACATCACAAGGCTTTGTCTGCATGAATCAACTGCACGGCGACCAGTTATAAGTTCCAGCAATAGAACCCCAAAAGCAAATACATCAGTCTTCTCATCCACAATTCCATGCATGAAATATTCTGGAGCCATATACCTGAAAGGAATTTAAGAACACAGGAGCTCAATTGTTTGCAGAAATACTGCAAGCATAGCATAAATCATTGAAGCTGCTATGCCATACCCGAATGTCCCCTCAATTGGGGAGACAACATGGTGAGTCCATTTCTCCGGGAGCCACCTTGCTAGCCCAAAGTCGGATATCTGCACATTACAAGTTGTATCAGAATGTAAAAGTTTTCTTCTCACAAGAACAAGGTACCATTTGCTAACATTTTTCAGATTTTTTTCTTCTCTTACTTACTTTTAAATAAATTTTTGTTTTGCATTTCTTTTTCTTTTTCTGCTTGTCATTGTTCAGGTTTGTTCCTTTCTCCAACCTTAATTCCATATGTAGTCGTACGCGTATGCGTCATGCATGTATTTGTATGAGTGTGTGTTTTTGTGAATTATTATATAGCAAGTATAAACACTAGTGTTATAAAATAGCAATAAAACAGATTCATTTTTCTTTTTGAAGAAACTATTTTTTACTTAAAAAATTCTTGAAAAAGCATTACAAAAGAGTACAGAAGACTTGGACATGGAATTTTGCTCTTCAAAAGGATAATAACCTGAGGTTCATAATCTTCAGTCAATAATATGTTTGAGGCTGTGATGTCTCTGTGTATAATGCGTCTCTGGCACTCACAATGGAGATACTGCAAGCCTTCAGCTACCCCAAGAGCCACCCTGAACCTTATGTTCCATTCTAGATTCTTTGTTGAACCTGAAATACCGAGTCTCTCTTCATCAGTCGAAGTAAAATGAATTTCATGCTTTTGAATATGCTCTGCTTCTTACAATAAAACGGGTACATTCATAGTTGGGAAAATTAGATGATTGGTTTCACATATGTGAATTTTTTTTTGTCCAAGACATAATGAGCGTTTGGATTAGGGGCAATGTGCATGAATTCAAATAGTCGAGTGGATAAGGTGAAAACTATGTTAGTTTAGATGGAGAAATAAAATCGGAGCCATAATCGAGGGGTCAAAGTGTAAGAAGAAATGTGCTAGTCTTTTTATGTGAAGTGGCACATTCATAGAACGAACCAAATCACCTCAATTACAATTTCCATCAGTTTCAATCAATGATAGATCACCGACTATATCTTTATGAGGAACCCACTTACGTAATTGGGTTCCAATTAAGTTCATGACAAGTGATCTACTATTGAAAGAAATTGAAGAAGTGGTTCTCCCTGTGTCAATATGACTAATTGCATTTCATTGCCTCGATTGAGTATGCTTCACAGGAGGCCTAAACAGAGACTTTGTGACATATAGAGAGAGAGAAAAAGATCAAGGAAATGGACACATCACCATGCAGTAAAGAAGAAAGGCTTCCATGGGGCAGAAATTGGAGGACAAGGTGCAAACCATTATCAGCACTGAACCCAACCAATTTAGCAGCATTTGGGTGGTTGATATGAGCAATAATCCCCAGCTCAGACAAGAAGTCACCAACTCTATCCTCATCATTCTTCTCTTTCTTGGTTATCCTTTTCACAGCAACGATTTCACCGTCAGATAAGCATCCTTTGTATACTTCTGCATGCCCCCCTTTCCCGATCATGTTATCTGTTAAAATTTGATGCAAAAGTTGAACCAAAACTCCAGAAAACCCAGAAAAATTTGCAAGAAAAAGTAGTTGACTTTGCTCATGTTTCATGTTTGAACCAAACATACATTAGGCGATCATTTTGATTATATGGTTATATGATCAACTTACCTATCGAAATTTGATGCAGAAGTTGAACCAGAACTTAGTAGAACAGAAGAACCCAGAAAATTTGCAAGATAGTACTTAAGAAGACATTAATTCAATCAGGACGATATGATGCTAACACAAGAGGGGTCATGATAGAGGGCAGCAACTTGTAACATCTCAAACTAACATTTTACAAAATGATTCGTTTTGTGTGCTGACAACGTTGCACAATGTGTATTGTTAAAAGTGGTACGAGAGCTAGCACCAATCGATAGTCAGGAATGGAAAAATGTGGCTCTAAGGGGAGTGCTTTGTGGGGACCCGAGAAGAGATCCAACAGGCCAAGACTCCTCAAGCTATGGGCCGAGAAGGATGAGATGGGTTGAGGTTGCCAAGTGTCTCATATCATTTGGTGAAGTACATATAAAAGTGCTTTATAAATGTGAGTCACAAAATACGAAGTGTTTGAGAACAATTTCAATCCACGCGTTACACAATTGAATCATTTGAAGTATGATGACAACTCACAACTACTCTGTCCTATATCCTTATCCTTAATAATTTCAGTGACAGACCATATGATAACTGAGACAAAGCAGGGCCAACCATTCAAAGTTGGCTATGTAAATATCTAGGCTGCCCTTAAAGAAAAGAGTGATTAGAGTTTGATCTCCGTGGATTGAGGAAGTTGAAAGGGATAGATTAGACCATACCTAATAATTTGACAAATTCAGACCCATATCCATGTGTTATTCCTTAAATGCAGTACTTTTTTAACTTATGTTTTAAAATTATTGTTGTTTCTATGATAATATTTAAGCCACATATTTGAGCATAGAGATTGTTTAAATGGTAATAAAGACGAACTTTAAACCTAAACGTTTTAAATTTGAATCTTGACAACTCCTTGAATCTTGGTTATGAACAATTTATCCCACATGAATACTCTAATCTCAGCATAGATGATCTACTTTTAACTTGATCGGAGAACAGATTAATTGAGGTGTGTGTAAACTGATTTAAATATCTCTGATTGTTGAACTAAAAAAAAAAGTGTGTTTGTAAAATACACCTCCACTAGAAAACCTTGCATTTTGCAAAATATATACCGAAAAATATGAATTTAAACTACGATTTCATAGAAACAACAGTTTGAGAAATAAATTAAAATTAAATTTTTTATAATTTGCAGTATTTTATAAATACTACTAGAATCATTTTAATGGCAACCAGTAATGAATTGCACTATGGGTCCATATCACCAACATGAGCGGCCGTAGATCTTCCCATGCGTGATGCAGTGTAATCAAAAGAATCAGGTCCAGCCATCACTTTCTCAACTGTCTCAAAGGTACTGCTCTTAACTGAAGGAAAAGTCACTGGAGTTGCAGACGAGTTTGACTTGGCTCTGGAGTGGTTGATTTTCCATCCCCATACCAAACCATGCACTATGCTTGCAGTCAATCTAGATATTGTTACACACATCTATAATATGCATCCGATATTTCAATTGATGAGATGGAAAAACTACAATAAATTGACACACATCTAAAATTTCGTACATCCCACTGATATATGTCAATCAATACATACAGTCATTTAGGGTACTGTCATACGTAGAATCGATAATTCTTATGGTTTTGGGAAGAGAAAATTCTTAAAATAGACTAGGTTATTGTTAACCTTGAATCAATCACATACAGAAACAGGGCACTCTGCAATTAAAATATTGAAAAAAAAAAAGAAACTCAAATTTATTTATTTTTTTACCTGGACTGAAATTATCAGTTGCAGCCACAAGCTCCTCATAGCTGAAATTCCTCCATGATGGCTTTGGCACCAAAAAATCCTCACAATCAATAGAATCCTCAGCACTATGATTCCTCTCCAGTCTCTTCCTCAAAGTCTTCCTTGAAAGCTCGGACCTAGCCAGTAATGTTATGGAGGAAAATCTTCTCATTGACCTCTTTTTTATGTTATCAATCAAATTCCTCCAATGTAACCCCTGATTCTCCCCAGAATGAGCTCCATTATTGGCTGATTTTTCATTCAAAGATGAGCCAGATGAAGAGCTAAAACTACTGCTGTTATTATCAGAATCTGAACCCGAAATCGGAATCTCTAAAACCCCTCTTGGCGATGATTCATCATCGCTATCTTCCTGTATTTTTATATCTTCCTGTTTATTCACATCTTCTAGCAACTCTCTTTCTGGGATTTCTTGGGTTTCTGTGGCAATTTCAAACAGAAAAAGGTTTCAGACTTTCATTATTTCAAATACTCAAATCACATATAAGGATTTAAATACCCAAAAAAGCAATTTATACTCTATAATAATTTATACCTCTTTTCACATCTTCTGGCTCTTCTGTTTCAGGGATTTCTCGGGTTTCTGTAATAATTTCACAAACAAAAGAGGAATTCAATTCAATATTTCAAACACTCAAATCACATAGAGATATCAATACCCAAAACAGAAATCTATAGCACACCTCTTGGCGATGACTGTTCATCGCTATTTTCCTGTATTTTCATATCCTCATCCTCCTGGTTTTTCACATCTTCTAGCTCTTCTTTTTCTGGGATGTCTCGGGTTTCTGTGACAATTTCACAAGCACAAAAGGGTTCAATAGTACACATACTCACATAAAGGTTACAATACCCAAAAAAACGAGTCTATAGCACACCTCTGGGCAATGACTTGTCATTGCTATCTTCCTGTTTTTTCTTATCTTCTAGCACTTTTGTTTCTGGGCTTTCTCGGGTTTCTGTAACAATTTCACAAGAACAATAAGGGACTTAAATATTTCAAGTAAACAATATCATAAACCTTTGAATACCCAAAAACATTCATTCAAAATCTTCAAACGAATAGCAACAATATAACCTTACCTTCCATAAGAATTGTCATGGACTAACTGGGTTTCTCTCAAATCAAGTACAAACCTCTGAATCTGCTTGCATTTGAATACAAACTTTGAACATTACATCATTTGACTGTTCATTCCATTCCCTCCCCTGCCCCTCTGGAGTATACAGAGAGAGAGGGAGAAAGAGAAAGAGAAAGAGAAAGAGAGTTGGAATATCTTATGGAGGTTGTTATTCTTTGGGAGGGGAGAGAAGAGCAGAGCAAGAGGAAATCAGCTTTGTGGTGATTGGAATATGTGCTATATTTATACACCAGCTTAAGCCAATGATCTTGTGTGTGTGTATATGTTCTAGCGGAAACATTGGTTGATGAAATCTCAGCCGTCAGTTTACTACGTTCGTGATTGTTGGCGTAACTATCGCTTGCAGAGACAAAAAAGTGTAATAACGAACCCAACTAACGTATGTAATATTGGTGGCTTAAGAGGGCATTTTGGGTACAGACTGTGAATTGTGGTTCTCAAGAGAAACTCATGAATCTTTTGGGTAAAATATCATAGATATTTTTGGATTATAAATTCTAGTATTGAAATGTTCCCTCAATTTTTAACTATCTTACTTTGATCATTGAAGTTTTAAATTGTACGAGGTTACTGATTGGTCTAATGATTATTCTCTTCACTGTTAGACTTTATGATAGTGAATTCAAACTTTGTTGTTCTTCTCCATGTAATAGTGGCTGATCAATTTTTTTTTAAACTATATAAATTGTAATATTTAATCCTTTTTGTTGAGTTTTTCTTAAAAAAAATTTGGACAACACACACCACTTGTCTTTATGTATCTACGATTGTTCTAGGTTTCTAGATTGTTTGTTATGATTTATATAACTCCAAGATATAATTGAGACAACTACGAGTTAAAGTAACAATTGAAACTCGTGTTAAAAATTCGATAATCTATATAATAAAATAGCTCACAATTTAAATTTTAAAAGATAAAAAAAATAATTTTTACTATTCGTGGTTGAAATCACTTTAAATTTTACTTTAAAATTAATCTAACGACTAATAGTAACACCTTAGGCTTCTAAGTGTGTGTTTGAAGTGATTTTTTAAAAATAGTTTTAGAAATTATTTTTCATGACTACTTTAAAAAAAATAATAATGTTTGAAATGTCCCACCATTACCTCTACCAACACCATCCCCACCACCACCACCACCATCGCCACTGTCGCTGTTGCTGCCACCACCACCACCACCACCACGGTCATTGTCATTCACTACAGTCATCATGTTCTCCTACCACTACCACTACCACTGCCACCCACCACCTCTAACCTCCACTACAAACTGATTCTTAAATTCTTTTATCTCTTCTTTATATTTGTGATTTAATTTTGGATATAAATACAAATATATTTATTATTTTTCATTTTTTATTGCATTGTATCTTCAGGCACAGACAATAACTAGTATATATGATATTTGCACTAATTTTTTGGTTGAAATTTATATCTGAATGTGCCAAAAGTTTCTTTTATTTGCTCTTTTTTTTAATTCCATATTTTCATGCCTAACGATAGAAAATAAAGGATTTGAATATGAATTGTTCAACAAGTCATAGATGGACACTATGCTTATCTTTAATGCCATCATATTTAGAGGACAAAAGTCTATGTCTGTTATTTTTTTTTTTTAATATTTTTAGGTGTAATACGATGACATCTAAGAGGGTCACATATTTTAGTACTACTCTCACCCAATACCATTTAATTGTGGAGTTCTAATGGAATCTGGTGTATTGGTATTGATATAATCACACCTATGTCTATTAACATATTAAATTTACTCGGCTCAAACCACAACAACTATATATGGTCTCTTTATTACACAAATCATCACAATGGAGGACCCTCTGAGTGGGATTTGTTACATAGCTTTACAAGCCTAAACTTTTAAACTTTAAGAGCAGTTGATGTTCAACAAGTTATTGATGAAAGTCTGGAAGAAAATTCAATGTTTTTTCATGATTGATTACTAAAAAAATTAAGTAAAAGATGATAAGTTGTGGTTGTTTTTCTAATTAAGTATCATCTTTCTTGTCAGCATCTGAGGTCCTTTCACTATTAATCTCTTTGAAGTTTGAAAATTCAGGTTCAAAAATTAATTATATATTTTAGTGGGGTTTTTTTTTTTTTTTGACTTTTTGGAAAGAAACTATTAGAAATAATGGGCAGCCTCATTTATTTTCCTGTGATGATTTTGTAACTCCAGAGTTTTCAATTTCAAACACACTGTTTCTGCCTTTTCCTTTCCTTTTTTGCATGCTAACCACAAACAATTTAACACATGGATTGACAATCATAGTGAGTTATGCAGGCATGCAAAAAATAATAACTCCGTTGGCTGTTCGATGGAGGTATTGTTTCTCAAACGACATTGTATCACTTACAAAACAACATTGTTTTACATATGATATAACGTCCTTTGGGAAATAGCCCAACGTGTCGTAATGCATAGGAAATTGAATTAAATTCGTATGAAAATAATTATGAATTCGTATAATTATAAAAATGGCCGTTGCTATTGCAAATGCATCATGAATGGTAAGGAACCTAAGGTTACCAATGTGATCCTTGCTAATTGAATCTAGTTATCTTCCACATAAGCAAGTGCTCACCATCTATGGCACAAGAATGACCTAAAAGATCCAAAGTGGAGAGGATTCATTGTTAAGTGGGTGAACTAAACCCCATAACATAAAATTCTTTTAAAATCCAATATATATATGTAGAGAGAGAGAGAGAGAGAGAACACATCAGCCACCAACCTCACCAATGTCAGCTCAGTTAGAGAAGTGAGTTTGACAGAATTGTGTGAATTCCTCCACACGTTGCCCAAGTCAAAAGGGAAACTAAAATTAGATTTTGATTCAAAGGGGTCCACGTTAGGCCCTTCTTGACTGATGACCAGCTTAATGCTGCATACACCTTTTTTTGAGGGATTTCTTCATATTTTTAAAGTGAGCTAAACAGTAAGTGGGGTCCGTTAAGTAAACAAGGTTATGACGTTCACTATAACTATCACTTTCAACCTCCTCACCGGATTTGGTGCTCCAAATTCAAGGTGGGGAACCAAACCTATATATATATATATATATATATATGACAGGAAGATAACTGAAATGGGTTGGTTAGGGTTTCACAAAGCATCAATGGTTCAGTTGGTTTCAATTGATGATCTTCCATGAGCTCAAGATAATGAATCTGAGAAATAGGAAATAAGTAAAATGTCTTTGTGACATGAGTCAACAACAAGAAAATATGTAGTATAATTAATTGGCCGTGCGCATATTTGGGTCATATTATTTTAAGTTTATATATAATTTATGTGGATATAATCAATGTTTATTATATATAATATATAATATATATATATATATATATATATATATATACCGCTCATCACGAACCGATAACTCAAATTAAAATTCATCCTTTCTCAATCAAACTCACTACTCACAGATCATATAAATTGAAAAGTCAAGTAATGTAGGTGTTTAAAAAACCAAACAGAAAAATGCCTCCAGTCCACAAGAATTCATATAAAGTTTGATCACAATGGAAAAAGTATAGGTGGGGAAGAATATATGATGGATGATAACCAATTTGGGTTGGTTAGGGTTGTGCAAAAGTATCGATGGTTTAGTTAATGTTTCAACTGGTCATCTTCCATGAGCTTAGGATCGATGATGAAAATAGGAAGTAGATAAACAAGAGGGGAAATGATTTCATGATGAAATATGCCAAATGGGATTCCATCTATTGAATAGTTGTTTGAATAATATTTTAAACGAGATAACAATAATATTTTAAGAATTATTTCAAAATAATAAAAGTTGCTGAGTTGTTTTAAAAGACAATATGAATTAAAAACTTATAGGGTTAATTGTGGTTGTGGTTTTCAAAGTATACGTTCTGTTTTATTTTAGTTTCCGATATTACAACTGGATTACATTAGTCTTTGATGTATTCAATTTATTCTTGAATTTTTAGTGTTGATTTTGTCATCTAGAACATTTGATTATCATTTGAAGTATATGTGTTGTCTTGGTATATATTGAGTGAAAGTGTGGACTGTGGAACAGTTCAATCGGATTCATCATTCACTGGGTTATTTACTTGACTTTTTATCAAACAAAATTTCTATATTTGTATAAAAGCTCACTTTAACCATCAATAATAATAAATTGTTGATTTTTAATATAATAATTAAATTAAAACTCAATTAAAATTCTAAGGACTGATTATCACAATTGAAACTTTAGAGATCAAATAAAAATTATGTGCATACTTTAAGGGTAAAAATTATAATTTATGTTTGACTCTAGGTTCAAGTACCATTGCTATTTGCCCATTGACCTACTGGTTGAATGAAAGGAAGACCGAGAATCAAAAGAGAGACGATAGACTAATTGAAAGGGACAATAAGAGCAGAAGAGGGAAGGTGGGGTATTAGGATAAGAACTACCAACTAGCTAATAGTAAAGAAAAGAGCAAAGACAAAACTGAACTAATTTGATCTATCCATGGTAGCGAGTCGAATGTAAAAGATAATATAACTGCTTTCCTTTGGAACCGAACATTCATTTCTTGACTCTATCTTGAGTAAAGGATCCCTCTTGTGATAGATAGCTTTAGCAATTCTTTCCTTATGATCTAGACCCACCCTGATTTATGCTTATCCATTTCGATGTTCGGTTTGGTCTTGATCATTGATGGTGTGTGTGTGCTGCACAGTTGAACAGAGGTATGCTATATAGAGATTTGAGGATCACTGGAAGGTCTGGTCAGAGCTTCTAGGTTCCTGGGAATTGAATGATGTGGAATGGAAGAACAATAGTCAAAAGATTTATAGTGATTCATCGATTCGGGAGCTCGGCTAGTTCACTCTGATAGAATCTCTTGATTTTGAGGGAGTTTTCAATTAATCAAAGGATAAGATTACACAGGGTATTTTCATGTGTAATTGTTGGTTGTTTATTATGAGGGATTTGCCCCTTATTTGTAGTCGTTAGATGTCTTGCATAATTGCCTTGCGTGATCCTTACCACTTTTTTTATAACCGACGCTCTTTTTTGCGTAATTAACGTTGATAGTGATAAAGCCGTTGTGACTCATTCGCCAAGAAATTGGGCTGTTGCGAGTTACGCACATCCTTTTGGAAGGTGCTAGCGGCGTCTATCATCGCTCTCACAAGAACCTTGTTGCTGGAGACATCCAACCTGTGCATCCCTTGCTACTTATCATGAGCTGCGTGACCTGGGTTGGATGACACGAACTGAGTGCTCAAACTCAACCTTAACCAATTTTTTGGTATCATCAATAACTATGCTTCTTTTTTGAATTTAGGATTTCAATATCACTGTCAACTTTTAATCTTGTTAATTATGTCATTAGGTAAATTACTCTTCAAAATTTTAATTGTCCTTAATGACCCAAAAAAATGCATACCAAATTTTCCTTTTTTCTTATGAATTTGAATTTTGGTTTGAGCTACACACTTATAAAATAAGGCCTTTCTTAAAAATGAGACTTACAGCCCAAATTTTGTTTACCTTAATATTGGGTTGGCCTTGGCAAAATCAACACAAAAATTGTCGGATTTCAGTTTATATAAAGATTTACACAATGAAAAGGTTTTTGGAAAAGCTCAGTTGTTTCCACTACTTTGTGTCATATTTATATGGAGATAAGTTGACTGTGATTACAAAGGAAATA